CCGTACTGATGAACTAGCACCATGTTAGCACGGTCCGGTTGGGTCTGGCGCAGTCCGGTTCAGTTTGCCTGTCACTTACACTCAACGGTTACCTTGGTTACCGTCCTGGGACCGACCTCTGCACGGTTTCTAGAAGGTAGAGGAAGTTTGGCTATAAAGTCCGGTAGGATGATTGGCTCTAGGGAGGTCAGTTCCATTTTCTTTCCTGTTTTCCAAATTTCTGGAAACAGAACTTTGTTAACGTGACCAAACTATTGAGTCCGGAATGTTTCAATCATTGGGATGTTTTATCTGGAACAGTAAATATTAATCCCCACCACAGAGTGGCAGTGTGCCGGCGTTAGCTAAAGGACGCTAATCTGATTTGCTAATCAGCTGGAAATGAATCAAAGTTGTAATTATTGTCTTCTGTGCTTTAGTTTCACTCTTCTTCTCTTTCTGAACTCACGGTTCTGCTTCCCATGTAGCTCAGCGTCATTGGTCTCCCCTCCTCTTCCTCAGAGTGTGTCAATGCCTTCGCCTTGGTGGTGCGCCCCCCCACTGAACAGGAGAACTTGTTGTTCAGCTTCCAGCTGGCCGGAGAGGCCACGGTTAAAAGCGACTGGCTGCGTCTTCTGTGTCGTCACGTTGCCAACACCATCTGCAGAGCCGATTCGGTGAGATGTCACCATAACGCACTCTTCCACTCACACAATCACTGAGACAAAGCAAACGTTGGGAAATTCTGCCCGGTTTTATAGATCAAACCATAAATAAAAGCAAAGTGATGATGAAAAGTTCTTTATTTCTAATTGCAGACTAAAGGAGGTTTATTTTTTGATGCTGTTATCTTAGCTGCAGATGAAGCCTGTAAACGATATTCAGCAGAAGCAGACGAGCCGTTTGCAGCGTTATCAAACTTTGGGTCATTTTATTTTGAAAAGCTTTAGAGGTTGTTTTCATTCAGAGCTGCTAAAAGCTGCTTCCTCTCTAATGGAGACTGGAACAGGATGTAGACCTGAAGGATGACAGGGATGTCCTGCTAGCAGCTAGCGCAGGGATGCTAACTGATGGCGGAGCCTTAGCCCATATGCTCTGATCTTTCTGCTATAAACCATCTAAGCTGCAGAAATGAAGCAGTCACCAACACTGAGCCACAGCCTGCAGCAGGGGGCGCTGTTGCCCTCCATTGATCCTGTCCCTCCACAGCTGCATTGCTAATGCTTTTTCCCACTGGGTCAGTGTTGCTGTCTGAATACCAACCAGACGGAGCTTCTCCAGATTTACCTCCATCTATGAGTTCTGCCTCCTCCTGCTGTAGCCGCGTCGTCCGTCTGCACCCATCACTTCCTCAGGCTCCACCTGGATCCACAGTAAAGTTGTTTGTTTCTCCTGTTTCCAGGAGGATCTTATTCATTGCATAGAACCAGACAAACTGCAGGTCAGCACCAAGGACATGGGCAGCACTCTGAGCAAAGCATCCAGAGCCATTAAGAAGACTTCAAAAAAGGTAACGGTTCCCTGCAGCTGCAGGTCAGCAGCTGCCAGACGGCCTTTCCACCATCAGGGGGAAACATTTCAATGGGATTTAGTTTCTAACAATAAAATAATACTTAAGGTTTAAATTAGATTTTTATCATTTTATTTGGAATCAAAGCCGGACAGTAACACAGCAGAGTTACTTTGGTCCAGGAAATGTTTAAAAAGTTCCTAAAGGTCAAAGTTCACTGTTAGAAACGGCAAACTGATGAGACAACGAATACAAAGATGATTTGGACCACATGGCGTTTATTCAGAGTTTCCTCTTAAGGCCCCGCCTCCTTTTATAGAGCAGGGAATCATTTCCTGCGTTTTTCTCCCTGAAACCTTGAAGGAAACGACGTTTCAGCCTTTATTACGATAAACGGACCAGATTTAGAAGAAATACAATCTGAGCAATTTCAGTCCTTTAATCAAAGAATCACATTTTTGGATATCTATAGATATAGAGATAGATATCTATCTATAGGTAAACAAAGATGTATAGAGATAGATGTGTAGATACAGATTTAGATATAAAGATGTAGATTTTACACTAACATTCTTGCACTACATGGTGAATCTTTAATGTTTCTGCATCCTATCTATGTGTTTATTTCTGTGAATCTTCCACATCGATGCTTTTTGCACCGTTTCTCTGTTTGCATCTGATCACTGCTGCACTTTATAAATGGAAATGTTCAGCTGCTGATTCACTGTCTGAAAGCTGGATAAACTGAATAACAGTTACAACAATAAAGTTAATCTATGTCTAATTTATAGAAATACTAAAATATATCGTTATTGATTCATGAATTTATCTGAATGAGTGAAATGGGGCAGCCTGGAAACTGGTTTTTATGGAAACTTCCCAGCTTTGCTTTTTCATTGTTTGATGTTTTATTGTGTTTAAATCAGACGGATCAGCCTGTCAACAGTTAAAGTTTAAAAACCAGCCAGCCGGTGGTCTGGATCGGTTCTCTGCTTCCGTCTCCAGCGTGAGAAGCTGCTGCAGGGGAACGATGGTTCCGTTTCAAACAGCGTCTTCATCATTCGGTCGATAAATTCATCCAACCTTTCAGAATAACTCGCCTGATTCAATTAATGCAGTTTCTATAAAATACTCAATAACATCAGTTTACTGCAGCATTGAAACGGGCTGCACTGATGTAGAGCTTTCTAACGTCAGGAGAAATGAGCGAAGCGCTTTACGTTTAGTCATTCAGTCACTCTGAAGGTGGTGAGCTGCATGGCAGCCACCGCTGCTGTGGGGCTCACTGACAGGAACCAGGCTGTAGATGGAGGCGAAGGCGGTGAAGGCCTGATGGCGTTCCTCAGCCATCGCTTTAGCATCAATAAACAAACTGAAATATTGTTCACTTGTGAAGGTTTGCTGTTCATATTTACTCCATAAGAGATTCGCCTTATAAAGAAAACTTCACCGTCTTCAGCCAATCATAGGAGCTTTTTGTTTTCCTTTTTAGGTAACGAGGGCCTTTTCTTTCACCAAGACGCCCAAGCGTGTGATCCAGAGGGCGTTCCTGGCCAACACGCCCCCCGATGAGAAAACCCCCAGGCTGAGCTGTGAGAGCCGGGCCTGCAGCAGCGCCACGCTGGCGGTGAGTCGGTTTATTTACATGTGGCTTTTGGTTTTGGGATCCAAAGCAGGTTCAACAAACTGGGACTCAAACTCTGAATAAATCTAGTCTGAGTTGGTTTTCAGTGTCATAAAATCTACTGTAGATGAGTTCAATCACTGGTAGGTCCACTCAGTCACCATGACAACAGGAACTTCCTGTTTCACCCCACTGGAGATTTGAATAAAGATGTGAAAATATAAAGATGCAGGAAGATGAAGGAGAAGATTGTTGCTCCAATTAACATGTAGGTTTATATGAAGTGGGCTATGGCAAGCTGTTTTTACATTTATTCAAAGCTCCTCTCTGTTGTTCCATTGTAGATCATTAAAATAAGATTCTTCCTGATCAGAATTCCACTTCTAGACTAAACTGTAATAATAGATTTTCTAAATTACATTTTTGCAGCAGAAACTGAATTTTAAAAGTAAAAACTCAATCATACCAATAAGAATTAAGTTTTATATAACTAGAAATTGTTACACATTTTAAGTGTCGTTTCTGACATTTATCATATTCCTAATATCGTAATATTAGGAATATGGAGATCTGGAATTATTTTCTAGAATGTTAGTTCTAGATGTGGAGAATATTTGGTTTGAAACGGTCATTATGACAAAGAAAAAATGTTTATTTCAGATAAGAGGAATACAGATTCAGTCAAACTAGTAGATATCGATGCGGCTTGCCATATAGGGACTGTAAAAATAACAACGCATTATTTGTTAAATGGTCAATGGATCTATTTAGGTGAAATGATCTGTCAGCAGGCGAAGAATAAAAACATTGTTCTAATATGAAGAACCTGTTCATCGTCTCATGGGTTCCTCCTCACAGTAAACACTGAGCGTCTGTCTGCAGCCGTTTCAGACGTTATCATCCTAATAATCGTTATTAGAAGTCATCAGTCCCATAAAACGGCCTCAGATTCGGCCAATCGGCCCAGCAGGTTGTTATCATTGAGTGAATCCTAATCCTAACCCCGGAGTTATTTCTTCCCCTGAGGAATTAATCTATTTATGTGTAATCTGAAAATAATTTCAGTAGTTCTTCATGTACTGTCAATATAACGAAATAAAAATAAACTGGACGGCATCTCGCTCAAAGCAAAAACCAGTAATCTGCTATCCTGTCACTGAGTCGTAGAATCCTCTCATCAGATCCTCGTCAGACGGACGTGTTTGTTTTTAGAACCTAACGGACCTGATTACATAATTAAACCTGGCCTAGTTTTTCACTCCTGCTAGTATAGATGAGTGGGGATTATAATCTTGTGAGACTAAAATGGTTTTAAAATCAGATTGAGGAAAAGTTTATTACGTGATATTTGATTCTCAGCCTCCTGATGTCCTTTGCTGCTCTTATTTTTTTATCTTTCTCGTTATTTTTCTGCCATTTTTCACCTCACCTCAGAAAGCTCTGCAGAAAGGAACCAAACCGACCCTCAGACTCTTCAGTTTTCATTCTGAAAGTGAACGCGTTTAAAAGCTTGGACCCATCAGGGCAGAGCGTGAAGGCGTCATCCTTTTTCAGATGGTTGTTCTTCCTTTAATGGTTGAGATTAACAGATAAACTAATGATCCCTAAAGAACCCAAAGATTCCATCTGATAGAATCCTGATGCTGAAGGCGCCTTGTTCTGTTGGAAGTGATAACATTGATGGGAAACAATAATCCTAAAGGTTTGAACTCGGGATGGAACGGTTTATGAAAACCGTCCGAACTGTTCGGTTCGACTGTCTCCGTTTGGTTCGACTGTCTCCGTTCGGTTCGACTGTCTCCGTTCGGTTCGACTGTCTCCGTTCGGTTCGACTGTCTCCGTTCGGTTCGACTGTCTCCGTTTGGTTCGACTGTCTCCGTTTGGTTCGACTATGTCTCCGTTTGGTTCGACTGTCTCCGTTCGGTTCGACTGTCTCCGTTTGGTTCGACTATGTCTCCGTTTGGTTCGACTATGTCTCCGTT